TAAGGCCTTCCCACACTTTCACTGGCGCTTCCGTTTTCGTCCTTCCCTTTGTCTTCACCTTATTTCCTCGCTCGACGTACCTCTTGCGCTTTTTGTGCAAACCTTTCGAACGTTCTTCTCACTCCTTTCTTTTCTGTCATTTTACTCTGGTTCTTCGTAGACAACCAGATCACCTGTCCTTCAATTAAAATTCTGTTCTTCCACAGTGGTGACCGAGACAGGGGATTTGGTTTTCCGTTCTGCGATTAGACAACCCCTCAAGAATCTTTGTGGTACGTCCCTTCTCTTACGATTGCGCTGATTGCTTGGCTTTCAGGCGCATATATTCACCCGAAATTAAACCGAATAAACGCCGAAAGTACGCATCCTTTCAAGACGACGCTAGGCTTCTATCAAATTCTCCATTTCTGTGAAAAGACGCTTCTCAAACGCTAAGTCTTCCGTTTAAAATTTTCTCCCTTTTGTTGTCAAACTTTTTCTTTAAAAATTTATATTTTCATTCATTATGGTGGATTCCCCTTCAACTTCATCTTTGGAATCCAACGTTAGCCTTGCTACTCTTAGTATACCTATGCCTACACCGGGAACTGCTAACGCTCCTTTGTTCAAAGGAAAGCGTGTAAATGATTTTTTAGATTCATTAGAGCAGCACGCGGATAGTGCTAAAATTCCTCATAATCACCTTCCATCTTACGTTCTTCGTTATTGCCATACTAAAGTCTGCAAGGTTATTAGCGGGTCTGCGCATTTTTCTGCAGATGACTGGGTTAGAGCGAGGACTTATCTTTTAGATCTTTATGGGTCAAACGATGCGGTGCCTGCGAATTCCCCGGATAGGCTACGACAATGGTGCCTCAAACACGGAGAAACGGGCTTTGTCACGTCTCGTAAAGAAGTTGACAAGTATTATCACGAATTCACTGCTTTATCGTCGAATTTGACCCGAATGCTTGCTAACGACGTCTCTTTATGTTTTTATAGAGGGATTCCCACCTCCCTTCGTACAAAAATCAAGAAACGGATTCCAGTTGCAAATCTCAAGACTAGCGCCCCTCCAGAAGTCGCCACGTTATTAAATTTATTACGTGCTGAATTTGATGAAGACGACCTTGATGCTAAAGTCGATTCGTCAAACCTTGACCTCGACTCTGATTCAGATTCGGATTCTTCTTCGAGTGATTCGGAAGACGACATTGACAAGGTTACGATCACGAAGAAGAAGAAGAAGCCGACCAAGAAGAAGACGACTTTTGAAAAGACCGTTCCTGCTGCTCCGATTGCCGAACCTGTAGGGATCAGTCCCATGGACAAGATAACGAAGCAAATGGAGGATCTTAAACTCGCCCACACTGAGTTCTTACGTTCTATGAACATTACGACTAATAACAACCCTTCAGTGTCTCAGATTATGCGCGAACTAAGGTGTTTCTTCTGCGACTCAGTAAACCATCGTCTAGGGTTGCACAACTGCCCAGAAGTCAAGGCGTGTATTAACGAAGGTTTGGTAGCTTACACTCCTCAAGGTAGATTGGCCCGTTCCGATGGTTCAGACCTTCCACAGGCATTTGGAAGTGATGGTGGCATAGCCAAAATCCTTCGAGACCAAAGGGGTACTTCAAGTCAAATGAAAGGTAAAGGTCGTGAGCCTTCTCGAGACTTACCGCCCCACATGACTAGCTACGCCGGACTTCAATTTGATGGAGAAGACATGCTTTCTAACGAGGTTTACAACGCGTCTACAACGTCTCTGGTTCCAGCTTGGAGAGCGCCTCCTTCGTCTACTCTTGCCGTTACGCGTTCGCAAAAAGAAAAGGAAGTTCGTTTTGATCCCATTAAGCGACCGGATCGGAAGGAAAATGAAGCTAAGTCTTTTTCCAAGCCTAAAGAACAAAGAGACCGCCCTCTGACTCCTACTCTTAGCAATTTAGGGCCTCCGCCGTCATTTCAGAGACAACCGGTTCAATCGACACCTCAAGCTTTTAATCTTCGTCAACCTGCTTCAACCCCAAAGCCGCCTCAGGTGAACACTGAAGACGCTTTCAAAAATCGAAGAGTCGCTCCTTCGAAGGCAAAACAAGACGTAGAAATGAAGGACGAACCGGTGAAAGCTAAGTCAACTCCACAATATCATTTTACGTCTGACATACAGGAGATGTACGACTTAGATAAGATTGTTAGGGACAAGGTCAACAAGACGACTGTCCAGCTTGAGCTAGGGGAATTGCTTGCCCTATCAGCGTTTCTACAAAAGTCGGTCAGCAACATGACGAAGACTCGTCGAGAGTACAACACCAAGCCTGTTACGGCGAGCATAGTGGAAATTCTAGAAGACGAAGACGATTACACATCAGAATTAGTAGGAGGATATGATGACAAGCTGAGTTACCCATCCTCTGAAAGCGCTTATACAAACACTGGCTATGTTGAGTCTCGTATAGGCTTGGAGTTTGACGAAGCGACGGAAGATAAAGAAGAGATCATGACTCGATATGCGTCAGCAGTTAAAATTCACCCAACACCTCAGCCGCTTTTCGCTATGGTGACTGGACGTTTTCGCGGAAAATTTGCAGGATTTGATGTTATTTTCATGATTGATACGGGCTCTGAACTAAATTTAATGTCCTTAGAATTCTACGAGAAAACTTCTCTGGCGATCAACTTAGATGGAACGCGCTGGTCCTTAAAAGGAATCAACGGAAGACCTGTACCACTAGGCGGCTGTGTGCGAGATGCGGAAATCAAGATATCTGGACGATGCTTCGACCACCATGTCTTCGTCAGTCGAGAAGGAACTGGGAAACAAGAAATCATACTCGGGCAACCGTGGCTCCAATGGTATTCGGCCTGTATTCAATACACTTGTCAAGGGTCGATGAGTATGCGCATATGGCAAGACGGCGATGGAGATAAACCAGGCTGCATGCCTCAAGGGCCTTCGATTGTTATTCCTTTGTGCACACCTGGAGCTCCTCGGAACACAGCGACACTCAACTTGGACTGCCGGACATGTGTCGAAGAAATCCCTGACATCGATTCGGGAAAATAGAGTCGGACGCGTACCCCGAGCCTGGTCAACGCCAGGACGTGTCCGTACCAACTCTTGGGCGGTCTCTTCACTCATTAATGGGGACTTACGGATTTGATTCACCTTTGTTCATTTCTGATTTAGAACCACCTGACGCTTATGATTTGATTTTACAGAATATTGCTCATTGTTCCCCAAGAACTTCTCGGCCGCTTCTAACGCCATGGACTCGGCGCGCTCTCACATACGAAAATAGCGCCCTCAAACTTCAAATGAGAACTAAATACAAAACAGTCGACAAGAAAGTTCGACCAGTACCAAGCTACATGCCAGACCCGGCTGG